CCAGGAGTGAGGACATCGCGCATCGCAGCCAGAAGCGTATGCACTGTATATATCATCACATGCACCTAGGAAAAAAAGCAATAACGAAATGAGCTTTCTAACTATAAGAAGATATGGGAGCGGTGCATTATTGTCTTCCGTCATGTGAATTAGTGAAAATATTGTTATATGTGAAATGACAGGATTACTGCCCGTTATTGCACACCCTTGAAATTATAAAATTACTTCAGCTTTATATATGTGAATTCTTCTGACTCTTCAAACGACACTTTTCTTTGACAACCAGGATTATGAGGAAAGTCAAATAGTTGTGATGACTAAAAAAGTGATCAGAATCAATTTCCAAAAGAGTTTTGTCCATATTTGAAGCTCTACAGAGCTGTCTTTGCCACAGATTTATGACCTGCGAAGTTTAATTGAAGTATTACATACAACTGTTGGCAAGAAACCTAGGTGCGCAAGAAGACGTGCTTTAATTCAATCGGTGGGCGCGCTTACCAAGAGGCTGATACTGTTTAAAAAAAGATGAAACAGCTAGCATCTGGCTAATTTTCGCGATCAGGTGTATATGTTTGCACAACACTATAAAATGATTTTTTACTATGCCCCAACTTACCTGGAATCCTTTGTTCATAATCAACTTCATTTCCTTGATTATTAGCGGCAGGTATCGTGGACCAAGGCATTCACATACTTGAACAGTAACTTTTCGAGCAGTTTCACGAACATTCATTGAGCGAGAGATCATTAGTGAGCATAGTTTCAAAACAACTCTGAAAAGCTCTGACTTTAACAATCGTCTCCTGAACTTATAAAATGAACGTTGCCTACTTACCCATGCAAGTATTGCGAGCGAATGCTGTCCGGGACTTTCTGCAGCAACTTCACCATCGCCAGCGCTACTGGTGCTCTTTGGATGTCATCATCTTCGCTGTAGTACTTCGTTGTTGCCGTTCGAGCCTTGCGATGTACACCCAACTCCGCCGACTATAAAATCTCCTTTAGAAAAGTAATGCATAGATTAAATAAGAGAATAACAAAACAAAATTCATATTTCTTCACAGTTCATAGTTGTACCATCCTTTTGGCTTTTTGAGATACTTGATATACCAACACGAATAAAGCGCACGCTACTGAGATGC